CTCTCCCGGGCCCAAATGAGGAGTTGGCAAACTATGGCTCATGGGCCAAATCCAACCTGTACTTGCCTTATAAATAAAGTTTTATTGGAACACTGCCACAGAGATCTGCTTACATTTTGGCTGTGATTCATCATAGAAAATAGCTGGCCCTTCATATATATTAACAAAAGGTTTGCTAGCTCTAGAACTAAAGAATAAAGCTAACATGTAAAGCACCCTCATACCTGAAGCATGACTAAAGACTTGAAGGAAACCAGATTCTTTCATTCAGCTCCAACTCTGTACAGTCTTGTGTGGCACTTTCTGACATTTGATCGATCCCATTTCAGGTGGCATTTCTGGTGCAATCCTTCTTAAAACAACAATAGTGATCAGGTCTTACCAATTTTATGCCACTTCCACAAGGTTTATCCCAGTGCCCTAATCATAACAGCTTCTCAAGAATAGCAGACCAAATTAAGTCTGAGACATCAATTGAGTGAGCATAACACACCAAAGGAAAGAGAGCTCATTAGTCACAGAGACCTACTGATAATGGATCACTGGAAGAGAATGAAAGCTGAAAGCAAATTAGTAAATTAACTCATTCACTCTTGACTAATCAGCAACACAAATATTTATGACCTGCTAAGATACAACTCTTCCATGCTACAGTAGCATAGGCAAATTAGATAGTGTTTAAATTCAATCGACAAGCATTTGACATTTGCTGTGTGTAAGCCAGGAAGAAGGGCTGTGGTTACTTCTTGCTCGCAAAGAAGTTACAGTCTCATTGGGAAGGGTGAAGGTCAGCAGATCATCCCAGTACAGGAAACAAGTGTGGTGCCAAGGTATACAAGAAGTATAGAAGTGACATGCGCCCTGGTAATATCACCCTTCTGCCTCCTATACATTTACCTAAAGTTTACTCTCCCCAGGCAAGACCCACTCACGAGTACTGTGTGACCATCAGGTGGGTAATATCTGCTGAGCTAACGTTGATGGTCCTGGGCAGCTCATATAAAAGAGCTCACTTCATTCTCACAACAACCACATGAGGCTTTGCTGGTGGTGGCACTGTCCAGTCCGTTTCAATGAGGCAAGTAGGAATCAACTCACCGACATCACTTGCCAAAGATCACTTAGTGGAGGACTTCGTTCGAGCCAATCTTAAGCTAAACATTATATATACCTAAGCCCTCTCCATATTGCCAGAGGGAGCTGAAAGTGTGTGACCTCCAGGGATGGGTATCACGTGATTCTGTGGACACTGGTTCCAGGAGGATGACTTGGTAAGGACTAAACAGCTGGCTCATGATCCACAATCAAGAGCGAGGAGAACAAAGGACTCCAGAGAGGATCAGTGACTCCCAGGCGTTGAGTGTGGCCTGGGCTGCTGCGATCAGCTTCGGGGGGTGATTCTAGACTCTGGCCAAGATATTGACTAAGCCCTGACCAGCTAGGCCATGGATCAATGGGCAGCCGGGAGCCTCTGAGACCAGAAGACCTCCAGAGGGTCATTCCTTTCAGCCAGGTCTGCTGTCCAGGATGTGTCTGTGCAGAGGTCATGGTGGACACTGAGGCAGAACAGTTGGAACATGTAGGTGCAATTTTGGAACCCTTTAAACAATATGTGTGAACTTTCTTAGACCATTTCTAGGAACTGAGTGTCCACATTTGCCTGATTACTGAAACTGCCATTGAACCATTCTTCACCAACCCCAAAGGGAATACAAACTCCCAAACCATGAAAAAATGCCCAACCTTAAATAAATAGCATGCTGAGGTACATGAGCTATCTCTTTCTCTCCCGAGTTATTGGCAATGGTGTACAAGATCCTCATTGGACACAGGTGCTGATGGAGAGGCTTGGGTGAAAGGCCTTCAAGTATACAGGAGAAAGTGGTGGCTCTCACAACATGCGAAACACATGCTTCTTTTAGCGGCTGAGTTCCTCTTCCAACAACATATTCCAATTAGATTATTAGATGGGTACTCCAAGCATTATATATTTCACCCATGTTACTTACAGCATTACTAATAACAGCAAATATTTAGCAACAACCGAGTATCTTTAAAGGGGCACCATTTAAATAGATCATGGTATAAGTAGACAACAGAGTCCTATTAGCCTATTGAAAAAGGATGGTGTGAACCAAAGAGCAATACCATGGAACTTTCTTCAATGAAATAAATAAATAAACAAACAACTAGATGAAGCGAGTGAGAAGGGGTTCCCCAAACTTTGCTCTGTCCCAAGAGCGGATCCACAATTCTGGAAAAGCTGAAGATGCTGCTCTTTCCACTGCCTAGGCTCACAGAGCCCTGGGAGCATCTGCTGAAATGAGTACATTAGTGCATCTACAGACGCCCGAGCGTTTGCGACCAGGAGACCAGGCTGCAGGCAATACCACCACCAATAATAGCGAGCGCCCACTGATTTCTAACCCTGCGCTGAGCACTGTGCTGAGCAGTTTCCATAGAGTGTCTCCTTGGCTTTCTTCTATCAGCCCCATGAATCCATGAGTGACGAGGCTATGAGTCCCAGCTCCATTTCACAGATGATAATATTGAAGCTCAGAATGGATAAATATTGACCAAAGTCCTTCAGCCAATAAGGGGCAAGGGTTTGAACCTATGCGTAAGGTGCATTCTCAGTGTGAAGAGCAATTACAGGCCTTCTGTAAATTGACAATTCCTAAGCATTTCTGATGAATCCTATTGTTTGTCAAGACTGGCACCACACTTCCCAACCCCCACTGGGTCAGATGAGACTTCTTAAGGGTGCTAGGAGCGGGGAGGCAGAAACATCATTGGGCATCATCTAGGAATTGCTGAGGAAAGCAGAAGGCGGTGGGACAAAGCTTTGGCTGCACCCACCACGCGGGAACCCCCAGTGGCAGAGATGGAGAATGTTCGTGGGCTCTGTTTGGGGACCAAAGCTCCCTTGCTTAGGGAAGCCAGAGCTTTTGACTTGTAAAATAATTCTTGGTGCCACAGACACGATATTCTTTCAGAGTTGTTCAAACACTTGTAGTTATTTGTGACATTTTTCTTTTAAAAATCCCTTTTCTAATCCAGCCTGGCTTGGATCTCATATCCCAGGGCCATGGGTTTCCTCTGACTTATAGCAACCAGGGTTGCCTCCTGTCACAAGGACATCCGACAGTCCCCTATAACTCTCCAGACCTGTAGGGGTCTTCACAGCCTTGTTCTCCAATCGCTCACCTTATGCGGCCCACACACCACGTAGATGCCATGGGGAGAAAGTCACAAGCTCAATGTTAAGAAGAGCAATGTAGGAACCACACACGCTGAGGTTCCTCTGCTTGATAACTATACTCTCAGAGCCTCTGAGTCCGGTGGGGACAATGCGGTAAGGATTAAAGAAGAGTGTGTCAAGCTGGAGAAGCAGGGGAGTGTCATAGTTATGGGTGCGGTTTGGAGCCTCGCTCCATCACTAGCTGTGTGTCCTTGGGCAAGGTACTTGACCATTCTGGTGTTCTGAGTTTGTTCTACTGCCCCACAGGGTAACTTGGGAGAACGCGATGGCTTGAAAAGTGCTTAGAGCCACGCCCGGCACATTAGTGAGGGCACAGCAGAGGAGCATTCCTAGGATTTACTCACGCAAAGCCCTCCACCCACAGCAATCAGTCATAGCTGTCATCATGCCAAGGAGTACACACTATGGAGCATCCCACGTACATGTGTCTCCTGAGAGAGCAATTACAACCTGAAGATGTGAGGTGAAAAGGTTGTCCTCCAGTAACAGAGTCCTAGTCAAGCACCCACGGCAAGGGGACATGGGGCATAGTGACCTGGCTGGAGCCTGCTTTCCTGTGGCCTATGGGGTAGTGGGAGAAACACACTAAAGAAATATGTACCCGGAGAAATATGTGATTATAGCTGTCATGTGTGCTGTAATGACACAGAGCAGGGGTCCTGATGGGGTTGAAGACTGGGGGTAGGTATGAAAAAGCCCGCTGTGATAGGTAGGTTTATTTGCTAGGTAGGTTTATTTGCCAACCTGGCCAATGAACACATGTGAGATTAATTGAAGGATGGAGAGATAAATGGCTCAGCGAGCCTCGCCTTTCGTGTCTCTTGCTCTTTGATCATCAGACCAGTGTGCCGCTGTCTTGCTTGTTCACTGCCTCAATTTGCAAGCTACACTACCTGTGGGACACCTAACCCGTGGACTGTGTTACTGTATTTGAGGTTCCTTCAAGACCTCCTTCCCCACGCTACTGAAGTATACACCACTTGAGCTGGGGACTGTCGGACCATGTCATCTGGCTGACTGTTGGTGACCTGGCTTGCTGTTTGCTGCCTGTGGCCGGATTGCCTGAATTGCTCTACAGAGGGCTCAGCTGCTTCCTTGACTTGCACCAGGCAGCCCTCCAGACTTGAAGGACTGCCAGTGTATTAGCTGTCCCACGGAAGTGAGTTGCACTGAGCCATTTGTACTGCTCTATAGATTAATTAACTGTTTGTTTTTTATGTTATATCTATCTATAAAACTACATATAAAATCATCAGTGTCCTGGTTTGGGTTCTCTAGAGAACCCTGTCTAACATACACACTGAGGAGAGGACATGTAAATGGGGGATTCTCCAGTGAAAATAAGAGTTGGCTGAGTGATGACTGAGAGTGGAGGGAGGGTAGGGCCTGGGCATTTGGTTGAAAGTCCTGGTGGTGCTGTTGTATTAGAAGGTGAACTGCAAGGCCAGCAGTTCAAACCTACCAGCTGCTCCTGGGAGAAAGATGAGGTTGTCTACCCCTAGAGAGATGGACAGCCTCGAAAACCCTCTACAGAGCCTCTGTGGGTTGGGATCGACTTGATGGCCGTGGGTAAAACCAGAAGATCCCAGGCTCCCGGCAGCAGGAGGGCAGTGGGGTTGGCTTCTTCCTGGACCTTCCACTGAAACGCGCTCCGAGCTCTGCGGGTGAAATCTCGGGGGACACCAAGAGCTGCAGAAACAGTTCTTAGCAGTGACTGTTGTCTCTTCCCTTTTTTCAGATGTGTGGCTTGCTCTCAAGGATTGCTTGTTGGCTCGGTCCTGACCCAAAAGGCCAAGAGAGCTCCGAGTGTGGCTGCAAATCCAGAGGCTGCAGCTAGGGCTCCCTCGGCCTCCGTGTGAACTCCAGCCACGGACTCTGCCCGGCTGAAGGCCCTCGGATGCCTCCGTCCGGTTCTGGGCATGCCCCTCTGGGTTTCATGCCAAGATTTAAGAAGATACGTTTCCCTTGCTGAAGAAAAGGAAGTAGCACGAGACAACGCAATGGCTTCAGTGGAATGATCTGGGCTTGGCGTCAATGGAGGTGAATCCTAGGAGCATCGGCTCTTGTCACAGAAGCCCGCCTCGGGGTCATGTATGTCTCCGCCTCTTTCCATGCCATGCAAAGAAGACGTCTCTAAGTTCCCTGCAGTTTGACACTGGAAATTGATGCTCCAGGAAAGAAAGCCAAGGTTCCTCTTGGCATCCATGCCCTGGGAGGCGGCCTGATCCCCTCAACGATGCTTCTGCTGTCTCTCTGTTCAGGACAGCTAGTTTCCTCCAGGAGCAGAATCGCATGCCTGCCTCCCTTGACAAACAGCCTGCCGGCTGGCTCTATCGCTGGATGAGGTGCTTAATAACTAGCCTAGTTCATTGTTTATCTAAGTTGCGATGATCATCGCAATGAAATAATATTTTCACTGCCGGGGAAGCACTGGGAAACGCTCCTAAGTAGAATCCACGGGCTGGGAATGGCCGACAAAGCATCCCACCCGAAGAGGAGAGGACCGCTCCATCTGGACTGGCATTTCTTGGTGTCCGAAATGCCATCATTAGACGCTACTCCAAAGACATAAGGGCATGTGCCTGGGAGAAGCGCATGGTCCCAACCCTTGTATCTGAGGCTCAATGGCCCAGCAAAATATGACAGTGAGGCCCGTGCTCCTGAAGCGAAACAGCCTGGAGTCAGTGGAGTTCATGAAGCAGCCGCACCACCGCAGGAGCAAATCCCAGCAGGTGCGCTTCAAGGAAGATGGCGCCAGTAAGAATCCCAGCGGCCAAGGTGAGGACGATGCCCAGCCTTCTGAAGATTCAGTGGTGATGGGCAAGACCCAACCAGCTCGGCACCATCACCTCCCCACCTGCTCGCTCTCCTTCCCCAGGTCCCAGAAGGCCGGGGGCTTTCGGAACATCGCGATCCAAACCTCCCCCAGTCTCAGGAAGCATTTCCCGGTTTTCAAAAGGAAGAAACTCACAGCCAGCAAGTCTCTGGTGGAAATGCCAACAGCAACCCAAAGTGCCATCCAGGTCAACGGCAACCTCTCTGAGCAAGACATTGTGTCTTCTGACCTCGCCTACTTAAGGCTGGCCCAGCATCTTGACGATGGGCCTCGGAGGGTCAAGTTGTCCCATCCATTTCTCCCAAGGGTGTCCAAGGTACAAAGCAACGGGCCTATTAGCATCTGCTTGGAAGAAGGGACTGGCAGGGGCTCGGAAAAAGTGACGGCTGCCATCCAGGTCCCAGACGATATTTATCACAGCCCTTCCTGGGAAGCTCGAGGGGTCCCTTTCAGCCCAGACAGGCTGGCAGACATCAGTAATGCCATACACCCCGTGGTTGAAATGTGTCCCGGTGATGGGAGGAGTGTGCTGCCATCAGATTCAGAGACACTCCCCTCCTGCTTAAATGCCACCAGCGGTGCCAACCACATGCCAGGCACAGGTCAATGTCAACCCGAATTGCTTTTGCCCAAAGACAACCTCGATGACAAAGACCTTGGCCCCCTTTCATCCCAGTCCAAGGAAAGGTATATCCCCTCCCCTCTACGGACTCACAGATCCCCCTTGCTGGGCACCCACAGCCAGCCAGCCCATCCAGGCAGAACTTCCGACTGTCTTTCCCCGAGTAAAGATCACCAGGACCCAGTGTTGCTCAGAGCGGTCAGTGGGACACGATCTGCACCCACGAGTCAGGAGGAGATGGCGGATCGGTCAACACAGTCAGATACGCCGGACTTTCCAGACTGCTCAGGAAGTGACCCCACCCCACGCGCTCTGCCAAGGAATGAAACAAAACTCCCGACCCAGCAAGAGATGAGTGGGATGAACCGAATTCACCTGGCCAGGGGCGAACTCTGCGACCTGCAGGGCAGGCTCCAGTCTGTGGAGGAATCCCTGCACTCCAACCAAGAGAAAATCAAAGTCCTGTTGAATGTAATCCAAGACTTGGAAAAAGCTCGGGCTCTCACGGAAGGGTAAGGTGCATTCATCATCATCATCATCATCATCATCATTATTATTATTTTATGCAAACTACTGGGCCAAGTCATTCGCCCGGTCATAGGGGCACAGAGGGCTTTGGTTCCCATAAGCAAAGTGTCTCCAAAATGTTTGAGGAGCTGTTGTCCCTTCAACTGATGGTAGCCTCCCTTTCTTCGATTGGGATCTCGCTAATTCTAGCCTTGAGTGAATGTGGGTGGCTTTTTGTGGCTACTTGCTTCTGTTTCCAGGCGTTTCCAGTGGGGAAAGGAGGCAATGACCAGCAGGGTCCAAAAGAATGCCTTTGTGAAGATGATGGCCCAGTTGGTAAATGGGGTGGGGTGGGGTGGGGTGGGAGTTAGCTGGCAGGAGACTTTCCCTCCCCCATTCTCTCAGTGAGTGACTGCATCAGCAGTACATTTTGGTTGTGTGTCTGCAACAAAGGACTCCGTGTGTCACTTCAGTTTCCATTGACCTTCACCTCCACTGATGAGGGCACAGATGACTCGGGCTAGCCCAGGGGCCAGTCAACTCTGGCTGGAGCCATAGGCAGCTCTTCTGGTATGTACACATGGCTCTGAAGTCAAGTTGAAAATGTTTAAGGAATATTATTCAGATCAAGGTGATTTCATTTGTTTGTAGACATATATTGAGGATTCTTGGATCATTTTAAAATTGCTGAGAGGGACAGGATGGGCTCTTCCATCTGAAAAGTTTGCCAACCCCTGGGCTAGTCCCTCACTGACCAACCTACTAGGACCGGAAATGGGAAATTTGCAAAGGGAAAGGCTTATGGAGTTACTTTCTTGGTTGATTCGTTACCAGCCTTGGGAGGGAAAGGCATTTAACCACTGGAATATGAAATGATCATCCCTCCAAAGGCTCCCAAACAAACAAACAAAAACTAGGAAGGGCTAAAGCTAGTCAAAAGAGTATGGGAAAGGGAAGAAGACGTCCACTGGCATTTGCTGCTATGACTGGGACCGCACACTGACATACAGACAAAAGCAGTGGGGCATGCAAAGGAATACACTGAGCCAAGGAGCCCCGGGCTTTAATATCCCCTTCTTGCTCACTTGCAAAACTCCCTCAGTTCCCTCATCTATCACATGGGGGACAAGAATAACTGACCCATCTCACAGGGCCCTTGTCAGCAAGCAGAGGTTGTGTGTGTGGCGGGGGGGTCCTGAGATTTGGAAGGATCTGAAGCATTTATAAAACTGTCTAGAAACAAGAGGTGCTGTGGTCCCAGCTTCCCTGGTTCCTTTGCTTGTAATGGCCTTGATGCAACTTCAGGCAGTACTAGGTGAGGGCAGTGCTGGGCTGTAAGGACTTACGAGGGCATCGGTAGAATGCATGCCTCCCATATCGCTCTGGGCCACACATTTATCCAGCAAATATTTTATCTTGCAGGCGCAACTTTTATCGAACTGGACAAGATCTCAACAATTGCAGTACCTGCCAGAACACGGCGTGCATCATATACAGGTACCTGGCCACATCTGAGGCCTGCTCTGTAGATCACGGGAGTCTCAAGGTTCACAAAACACCTCGTAGGCTCTCTTGCACTCCAAAAAATCAAGGGAGAGGCAAGACGTGAGGGCTTTGAGTTCCTGAGACATAAACCCAAGGTGCCCCACCATGGAATGGGATGCTGGGTTCCATGGCCTCCTACTGAGACCCACACTGGGCAGAGGATTGCTTTGTGTCACTGCAACAAACGAGAAAACCTATGGTGCAAGTGTTCCTCTCCTTAATTGAATATTGCAGGGGTATTTGCATCACATCTCTCAAGGATACAGTGTGAGGTAGGGGTTCCAGTCCTGGGGGAGGTTAAGCCATTCGATCTGTTCCTATGGAACATTTTCTGAGAGCAGAAGGGGGCAAAGTCAGGACGCGGATCTGCAGCTATCTGACCTCAAACCCTGTGGTCCTGATTAATCCACCACACTGCCTCTTCCTAACAGTAGCTATCACATGCCAGACACTTACAACGCGTCAAGAAAGGTGCGAAGCACTTTGTGCTCATTTCTAAATATGCCATCTCCTCCCTGCCTGGGGAAAAGGTTGTGGTTGTAAAGTGGATGGTGATGGGTGAGAGGGGAGGAACATCAGGAGCAGTCGCATCGCTATACCTGGAATCAAAAGCCGTGTGCTTTAATCCCAAAGTGTGACAGCCACTACTGCTACTGTGCGGGACTCAGTTTCCTTATCTGTAGAACAGGACAGTGATCGCTATCAGGGCTGCCATGGGGAACAAATGAGATAATCTCCGTGGATGCCTTTTGCTACTATAAACCTGTGTACAAATCCAAAGGCTTATTACTATTATTGCTTGAAAGCTCCGTGCTCCCTTAGCAGGAAGCCCACTTTCAGTGGCAGGGCAAGAATCAAAAGCAGTCATTTCCGTTGATGGCATCTAATTTCCTGTGACAGAGTGTATAGTTTGCTGTCACCACTACTTTTCTCTCAGGTGAGAACAACTCAGGACCTGAGCTAACTGGAGTCCACTTGGGTTCTCTCTCTCTCAACTACCCATTCTCTTTAACCGATTCCAGAGATTTCATGCTAACACAGGGTCATGGGCCTGGGGGTCAGGCGGTACTGACAGTCATGCAGGACTGACAGTCATGCAGGACTTTGGGCACTTCCTCGCTTAAACTGACCAGCTCTTCCACCTGGGAGCCATATGACCCCACGTTTTCAGCAAAACCACATGAGCATCAGATCTTTCCACAGAAAACACCTGAGATTCCCATAAAAAGAATGACTCTGAGCAATTTTTGTGTCATAATAGTAGTCTCAGAAATCGCTTTGTTTTCGCATATATACATATATATTCAAATATAAACACGAACCTAGCTGGTTTTGCATATGTATATGAGCCCTGGTGGAGTAATGGTTATATGTTGGGCTACGATCCACAAGCCTGCAGTTCAAAACCTCCAGCCACTCTGAGGGAGAAAGATGGGCTTTCTACTCCCATACAGAGTTACACTCTCAGGAATTCACAAGGACCATTCTACCTGTCCTGTAGGGTTCCTATGAGTTGATGTTGACTCGGTGGCAGTGAGAAATTATTTAGATATTAGTTTTTTATATATATACAGTTATATATATATATATATATATATATATATA